CCCCCCAGCCACTCTGTGTCTCTCACTCCCGTCCCCTGCAGAATGTGTAAGAGCGCCATGGTTGCATATTTGTCGTTCTCTCCACCATCCATCGCCCTGGAAACAACTTCTCTTTCTTCCTCTCCTCTTCTGATCCTGCCTGTCTTATCTTCTAAACTTTCTGTCTGACTCCACCCCCCCCCCACTGTTATCTCTTGCCCTTTGTCATTTTCGATGCTACGAGCCTTTTATCTTTCCCTGTTATCGCTTTCTCAACTCTGCCTCTCTGCCTTTCTTCTCCTCTCAGGCCTCCGATTCTGCCGCACTTGCACTCACTCGCTCGCTCATCAGTGCGTCTGGTCCGTCTCTCAGTGTCTCACCCTCATTTCTTTCTTTCTTTCTTCACTCCATAGTATTCTCCAAGCCTCCCTCTCTCATTTATCTTCCCTTCCTGCAGGAAACTATTACATAAACTATTCCAACTGGCATTATTAGTATTATTGAAATGATGGAGAGCAATATTATGACATCAGAGCAGAGCACAGCAGAGCACAGCACAGCACAGCACAGCACACGCACATAGAGAGAGAGAGAGAGAGAGAGAGAGAGAGAGAGAGAGAGAGAGAGAGAGAGAGAATACAAATGTCTGGGTCGTTGACATTTCCCCCTGCTACTCAGCCCAAACACCACTTCCTGTGAGACGGGAGGACAAACTGTCTGGAACATTTTCTGGAGTTGTCTTCAAATAGCTTGAATAACTCAAAACATATGGAAAGTCACAAATAACACTTAAAAAAAAAACTTTTACCTCCACCAGCTTTGCACCTGATGCTTCTGGGGGCCCATGATTGCTTTTTTTTCTAACTCTTAGCGATCTGCAGAGTTGGTGACCTCAACCTCCATCCTCATTCAGTTGCATGAGTCAAAGACGCAAACACTTAAGTTGCAGAGAAATTGGAATACAGTGTGAAACCCACACGAGAATAGCATCCATTCAGTCTATGTGCCGAGGCAAGTCTGGCTCATTCATGATAAGAGGTGAAGCAGCGAGTGTCGCTTCAAACAACACATACTCATATATGAATGAGGACAGTACAGAATGCTGTTAACGCAATGGCTACTGTGGATACGACATTCCTCTTTAAATGTACCATTTCCAACATGTTCCAGGGGCATAAATAGAAAAAAGTTATCCACCGACTGTAAAGAAAAGACTAAGTCCACAGACGTGTCTCATAATGAGCAGGTCAGTTGCATCATGTTACTGAACAGGCGTCCTACGGTTATCTGTTGGCTGCAGATGTTGAAGCTTTCCACATCACATTCCACGTCACATTTGGGTTCGACCGTGTACGGATGAAGCGGAGATGTTGCCATTTCCAAGCAATTACGCTCCTATTGTGTGTAGCTCGACCTTTAAATGACCTGTGTTATACAACCTGTTCACCAAGCTTGGCTGTTGTATACAAGGAAAAAAAAAACTATCCCCAGTTGTAACTTTATCTGGAAGAAAACACAAATGTGCACATACAATTGGATCAACAATAAGAAAGTCCGTCACACACACACTAGTGGGCTAGTGACTGGAAGTGTGGCCTGCACGTGCACACGTCAGCACTGGCAGCAATATTATTATCAAGGAGTATAAGAGCTGTAGTCCTTTCTGGAATAAACAGACCCTTCCACTGCACTTCTGCCTCTGTGTGTACTTCATGAGAATAATCTACAAGACTCCGTTACTTAGTTTTTGTCAGTGATTAAGGAGTTTCACAATTTGCCTTCAAACAGTCCGCACCAGAGAGAGGATGAAGCGGAGCTCTCGGGCGCCGGGTCCGCTCAGCGGGCGTTCAGATCCTCCGCCAATCAGTTAAAAAGTGGGCTGTTAAGGAGGCCTCTGAAGGCTGGAGCTAATATGGCCTCTTTCAGTCAGAGGGGCTGCACAACAGGCAGTTTGAGATAAATAAGGGCTGTGAACTGTGAATCAGTGGAGTCCCGACAAATATAAAAAGCTGGAATGAGTGTAATG